AACACTCTCTTTTCTTATCATTTATAAAATACATTTTTTTTAAACTTAAATTTTTTAATTTATTTAAGAGAGAGAAACATCCATTTGTTGTTCACTTACTTATGCATTCATTGGTTGTTCCTTGTATGTACCCTGACTGGGGATCGAACCCGCAACCTTGGCATATTGGGACAATGCTCGAACCGACTGAGCTACCCAGCCAAGGCTTATAAAGTACATTTATTTAGAGCACCAGTTATTCTAAGTACCCCCTCCCCTGAATATAAACTTCTTGAGGGCAGGTTTCCCTTGTAAGTGCAAGTACAGAGTACCTGTGGAATTCCAAAGGTGTGTAACGAGGATGGCAATTTTGACAAAGTTCTGATTTTCCTCACTTTACAAACCTTTGTTCATACTGTCACCCTGTTCGGAATGCTCTCCTCATCACAAGTTAGTTCAAAACTGCACCATCCTTCATGGCCTATTTCAAATGCCACTTCCTTACAAAAGCTCTTCCCATCTCCCCATCGGGATATAACTCTCCCCTCTTTGAAAGAGGGAATATTTTGTGCTTTTCTATGGTACTGATTTTTTTTACGGTACTATAATGCAGTTATTTGGGCATCCCTCTCATCTCACACATCTCTTGCCCCACACCTTCTGGAATCTCAGAACCTTGAGATAACATCTACATCCTTCCCAGCTTTGCAACTCCCAGCACCGTGCTGGGTGGAGTCTGATTTGAACTGTTCAATTAGCAGCAAAAATGATGGAATCAGAGATAGTAATAAGCATGATTACCAAACAAAAGTTTTTTAAAATCCTAGAAGAAACTACACAAAACAGGATGCAGGCACCAATCACAGGCTGTATGTTGAATCACTCTGACCACTCGGCTTGTTTATATCTAGTCATTTTCATCACATGGATTTCATTTTGCTAGAACTCCAGAAGACTCAGACAAAGAGCCATAGCCTCCCAGCCGCTGCGTTCCCAAGCCTGTGGTTTTCCTATGATATAAACAAAAGATTCGGGAGGTATGGTCTCTGTTAGTATTTGCTGGTGTGGGTCTGGGGGAGAAATGAGCGGTAGGGCTAGGGGCAGGGGGCTTGAGGGAAACCCACCTAGTGAACTGACAAGTTCATATAAGCAACACCTGGAGTGTTAAATCCCCTACAACTGTTGTTTTACTAAAAGGAAAAAAAATCCCCTCTTCTTTGGAAAATGTAAAAGTTCTTTCACCAGCTGCATTCCGATCTACAGTGTGTGGCAGTTCAGGAGAGATGGCAGCTGGAACGGATCATGCTCAGGATACAGTGAGTGTTCACCAGCAGCCAGGGATGAACCCACAAAATGGATCTTTAGAGCCACGTTCCTCAACCTGCCTGCTCAGAGTTTTCTGCTTGTAAACACTGAGAATACTGGAAACGCACATCGCCAGGATTGGCGAGAGGATCCACCTTTTGAATAGAAAAGCTGTGACATCAGCTTTTCAGGACTCCCCACTTAGCTTCATAAAACCCTGAAGTCTAAGCTTCGGGTTTAATCCTATTTTTGTTAAATATTTACAATCTACTACAAAACCAAATTCAGACCAAATGTCTGCTAACAAAACCTCATGACACAGCCATTCCTCCCGACAAGAGGGAGAGAGGGCTAGCATCTACTGGCACCGGGTCAGTCACTCTGTGCTCCATCCTCACAGCGCCGGAAGCAGATGCCTGACTGCACATACAGAGACGGTAACGTGGGCCCCGAGAGGTTAAGTCATGTGCTCAACACCCCCCCTCCCCCGAGGAAAAATGAGGGGAGTTAGGCCTGTCTGACTCCAAAGCCAGTGTTCTTTCCACTGTGCTCGGTCTGCTACTGACCAGTATACCCCAGAGAAGTTCTTTCTCCAGAATCGGTAAGAATACTACAAGAGTCTAAGACTAAAATAGGCATTGGCAAACTTTTTCTGTAAAGGGCCAGATTGTAAATATTTTAGGCTTTGCGAGCCATATGGTCTCAGTTGCAATTACTTAATTCTGCCCTTGTAGCCAAAAAGCAGCCACAGACAATATACAGGGTGGGGCAAGAGTAGGTTTGCCGCAGTATGTGAAACACAGAGTTTATTCTCCTCCCTTTGATCCCTTCTAGCCCACCCCCACTCCCAGCCCCACCTGCACCCCAGGCCTTGGGTTATACATATATGCATACAAGTTCTTTGGTTAATCTCTTCTCACCCACCACCAGACTTTATTCTTGTATTATTATTTATTAATTACTGTATATTTTTCCATACAAACAACTCTAAACCTAATTTTGGCCCACCCTGTATAGATAGATGAGTATGGCTATGTTCCAATAAAACTTTATGTACAGTGGGGCCTTGACTTTATTTGCACCTTTCGGCTCTCTGATGGAGCTCGTAACTCAAATTACTCGTATGTCAAATCAAAAAGTGAACGAGTGAGACACGTGATGCTGGGCTGATGTTGTGGCATTCACTGTGACGTTCGCTGCGCCAACTAGCGGTGGGGTATCTGAAGCTGGCTCGTAACCCGAATTTTAGCTCGCAACTCAAAAGTAAAAAATTGGCCGAGAGACGGCTCATATCTCAAAAAACTCGTTAGGCGGGACACTCGTAAGTCAAGGCCCCACTGTACACCTTTATTTAAGACTTTATTTGCACCTTTCGGCTCTCTGAGCAGCACCATGGCAATCGGCAAGAACAAGTGACTTACAAAAGGTGACAAAAAGGGAGCCAAGAAGAAAGTGGTTAATCCATTTTCTTTTTCTGTTAATCCTCATCCGAGGATATTTTCCCATTGAGTTTTAGAGAGAGTGGAAGGGAGGGGGAGTGAAAGAGAGAGAAACATCGATGTGAGAGAGACACTTCAATGTGAGAGAGACACATCAACTGGTTGCCTCCTGCACAAGCCCCGACCAGGGCCAGGGATCGAGCCTGCAACTGAGGTATATGCCCTTGACCAGAACTGAACCTGGGACCCTTCAATCTATCCACTGAGCCAAATTGGCTAGAGAGGTCGATCCATTTTTTAAGCGAGATTGGTATGATGAGAAAGCACCAGCTATGTTCGGTATAAGAAATATTGGAAAAGTACTCGTCACGAGAACTTAAGGAACAAAATTCTATCTAATGGTCTCAAGGGTTGTGTTTTTGAAGTGTGCCTATCTGAAACGCAGAATGATGCAGTTCCATTTAGAAAATTCAAGCTAAGAATGTTCAGGACAAAAATTTGCCTAATTTCCATGGCATGATCTTACCATGGACACTAAATGTACTCCATGTCAAAGAACGGCAGACCAGCCCTGGCTGGGTGGCTCAGTTGGTTGGAGCATTGTCCTGTACCCAAAGGTTGTGGGTTCAATTTCCAGTCAGGGTTCATACCTAGGTTGTGGGTTCAATCCCTGTTCAGGGCTCATACGGGAGGCAACCGATTGATGTTTCTCACATCGATGTTTCTCTTTCTCCTATTCCTTTCTCTCTCAAATCAATAAAAACATATCCTTGGGTGAGGATAAAAAAAAAAGGCAGACCATGATTGAAGCTCATGTTGATGTCAAGACTACTGATGGTTATTTGCTTCGTCTATTCTGTGTTGGTTTTACTAAAAAACGCAAGAATCAGATTTGGAAGGCCTCTTGTGCTCAGCGTGAACAGGCCCACCAAATCTGGAAGATGATGATGGAAATCATGACCCAAGAGGTGCAGACAAATGACTTGAAAGATGTGGTCCATAAACTGATTCCAGAGAACACTGGAAAAGTCTTGCCAATTCATTAATCTGCTCCATGATGTCTTTGTTAGAAAAGTCCAAGTTTGAATTGGGGAAACTCATGGAGCTTCACGGTGAAGGTAGCAGTTCTGAAAACGCTACTGGGGATGGAGACAGGTGCTAAAGTTGAATGAGCTGATGGATTTGAGCCTCTGGTTCAAGAATCTGTTTAAAATTCGGACTTAATGGTGACAAATAAAAAATCCTATTTGTGATTACAAAAACAAACTTTATTTACAAAAACAGGCAGTGGGCCTAATTTGGCCCACAGGCTGCAGTTTGCTGACCCCAGCTCTAGAAGGTTCTACAGTGGATAGCTTAATGTTATTTGACTTATAAATCAACAAAGGATTGCCTGTTCCAACTCAATTAATCAACAAACATGAAAGTCTTCTATGTTCTATATGGTCCATGCATTAAGGAATTTATATCCCTTTAGGAAGAAAGACACAGGTACATAAAAGCCAAATAGCAACACAAGGCAGCATGTGGTAGGTGTCAAAGGAGGGCTGAGAACTAACTGATGGGCAGCTAAGGTAACAGAACACCAGGGTCCACAACCCGATTAAACAATCCTGCATGGGCACCAGAGCTCAGAAAGAACGAGAAAATCCTCTCAGTGGGCAACAATGAAGATGAGCCAGAAGTTACTAACAAAAGCACCCATTCTGGTGAGACCACTTAAAGTTTTCATCAGCACGTGTCAGATGCTCACCAAAGTTAACATCTCCTTTAGACTTACCAAACCCATCTGCTCCCCGTCTTGTTCTCAAAGGACAAGAGATGGGCCCTAGCTGGTTTGGCTCAGTGGATAGAGCATTGGCCTGCGGACTGAAGGGTCCCGGGTTTGATTCCCGCCAAGGGCACATGTCCCGGTTGCAGGCTCAATCCCCAGTAGGGGGCGTGAAGGAGGCAGCCAATCAATGATTCTCTCTCATCACTGAAGTTCCTCTCTCTCTCTCTCTCTCTCTCTCTCTCTCTCTCTCTCCCCCTCTCCCTCTCCCTTCCTCTCTGAAATCAATAAAATATATATATATATATATCTTTTAAAAAAGGACAAGAGATGGACCTAAGGTACAAGATAAAACGAGCGCTTTGGGAGACTCCTTGAGGTCCTCCATTCTCCTCCAGACTGATGCTCTAAGCACTGAAGAGCCTGAAGACGCTCCAGGCAAGAGCTGATAGAAACCATCTGGGGTCACCCTTGGACGTCTGAGAAGCAACTTCCCAAACCCTTACCTTGCTCATGGCAGTCAGGGCCGGGTCACAGGCAGCATCCAGGTCCTGAACCAACAACTGGATGCTGTTCGAGATGACACTGCAAGTCAAACAAATTCGTAGGTCAGAACTTTCCAAAAGAGGACTTTTTAAGTGACACAGCCCTCCCAAATGTTTTAGGCACCCGTGTAAAATGAGATTCATCATTTCATCAGAAACTCAGTACACTCGAGTTTCATTTCAAAAGGGAATTAGTGACAACGAGGAACACTTGGCTCTTTCCTCATTCTTGCTGCATGTCCTGGTCTTATTTAGGTGTGTCCTCACTGAGAACACAAAATTCCACAAAATTCTTCCTATTCGCTGCACCCAGAATCTCTCTTCATTTCTACCTCCAAAAGTACAAAGGAGAGGAAACGACTTAAGAAAACTTTAATTTTTCCTCAAAAAGTGGTGATGAGAAAGCTCAGCCTATCCCAATCTCATGTAATGACCACGAAAAAGATATTGCTAAGAAACACCAGGGAAAGAACTACTTCGAGAAGGCTTTTCAGTTTGAACTTCTTGGACAGACACCCCACCTCCCCCAACCCAAACACACACACACACACAGCTAAAATCTGGCTGCTTACAGTGTATACCAGATATTTCCAATCAGTGTGCCACAGCACACTGGTGCGCTGCAAGATTTTTAAAACATGCAATACCTGACTATTTAGCCAGGGGCACTGACCTCTTTTCCCTTAGATTGGCAAATAAAAAAAAAATGACAACAGCCAACACTAGCCTTCTGGTGTAAATGAATCAAAATTATACCTACTTTTTTGTCAGATCAGCAAAAAAAAAAAAAAAAATATATATATATATATATATATTGTTTGGTGTGCTGCAAAAATTTAGTAATTAGTTTATGTGTGCCAGGAGATAAAAGGTTGAAAATCACTGTTTTATATTGTATTACAATTTTTTTTGTTTGTTAATCCTCACCCGAGGATATTTTCCCATTGGTTTTTTTAGAGAGAGTGGAGGGGGGTGGGGGGGAGAGAGACAGAAAAAGAGAAACATCAATGTGAGAGACACATCGATTGGTTGCCTCGCATGCGTCCAACCAGGGCCGAGGATGGAACCTGCAACCAAGGTAGCTGCCCTTTATGAGAATAGAACCTGGGATCCTTCAGTCCGCAGGCCGACACTCTATCCTGAGCCAAACCGGCTGGGCGCTGCTTTATATTCTAAAACCCTGGAGGTGGGGCTGGCCCCCTGTGGATTTAGGAGGCAGATAGGAGGCCTTGGATCTGACCTTCCTTCAGGGATGCCCAAGGGGGGCATTCTTTTTGCTATTCTAATAGTGAAACAATAAAAACCTAGAAGCTAAAAACGGTTCTATCTGAGGAGACAGAATGGGACGCAGCCGCACCAGCTCCTCATGGTTCTTCTTGGTGGCTGGTGGAGGACGATCCCGATCCATCAGAAGGCCCTGGAAGCCTCGAAGGCTCTGCAGTGACCTAAGGCCCATAGCCTAAGACATGCCGCTCTGTGCAGGGCAGACCATGAGCAAGTGTGTGCGAGGTACATACGTGCTGAATGTGTCCATTTCTCCAGTCAGATTGATTCGTTCAGTCAGACTTATATCAACTTTTTCTTTGAGTTTTTCTTCCAGCTGTTAGAAAAGAAAAACATGCTTAATGATTATCCAAATAAGAACCATAATAAGAATACTTAACATGGACTGAGTTTGATGATTCAAGCATAATTCCAGGCCCTTTTCCTGCATTGACTCATTGCATTCTCACAACCCTAGGAGGAAGATTCTATTCCTATCCCCATGTTACAGGTGAGGAAATGGAGGTGACCTACCCAAGACAGTAAGTGGTGGGACCAGGAAATAAACTTCCTCTAGAACCTGTGCCCTTGAGCATTGGGTTGTAATTGTTTCTTATGACACTCTGACAATTTATTTCACTAATTTTTTTTAATCCTCACGTGAGGATAAGTTCTTATTAATTTTAGAGAGAAAGGTAGGGAAAGAAAGAGAGAGAGGGGAAGGAAGGAAGGAAGGAAGGAAGGAAGGAAGGAAGGAAGGAAGGAAGGAAGGAAGATTGGTTGCCTCTTGGATGCTAGATGCTCCCCAACTGGAAATTGAACCCGCAACCCGGGCATGTGCCCTGACAGAATCAAACCCGCGATCCTTCGGTGCATGGGACAACGCTCCAACCAATTGAGCCACACTGGCCAGAGCCATTTCACTAATTTGAAAAAAGACCCTGGTTTTTAGGATACTCACTACTCATCCACTGCAGGCTCACTCCCCAACATTGGAAACCTCTGGTGGTGGGTGGCAACAAAATCAGTATTAAAGTCTTCACTGAGTGCTCCTACACACCACCCACGGGGTTAAGGTGTTGGGGATACTGAGGCGAAGCAGTCTACAGCCTAGGAGAAAACCCTGGCCATGCTCCCAGCGCCTTGAAGAAAAATATAATTGACCTGGAATTGTAAATATCTCCAACCATCCCAGAAACTGATTCACCGAGCACTCCCAGACCTATTTATTACACAAACTAACGAATGTGTTGCCTTAAATTTAAAAAATGCTCTTAGGGGTGCATAAATTAGTGTAATCTTTTTGGAAAGCAATTTATTTAAAAAGCAAAAAATTAAATATACACAGCCTTTAAGCCAGCAATTTCAGATCTAGGAAAGTACTTTAATGAAATAATGAGGACAACGTACAAAGATATGCAAGTATTCTTTGCAGCATTCATGAACTCAACCAATATTTACTGAAAGCTCATTTTGTACCAGGCTCTGTAAAAGTAATGGAGTTATTCAATGAACAAAACAGTAAGATTCTGTTCTCATAGAGCTCACTTTCTAACGCTATTTGTTATTGAAAAACTGGAAACAATCTACTGATGAAACAAATTATGGTGCAGGCTTACAATGCTTAAACTGGTCAGCAGCCTCTGCCTACCACACTGAAAATGAATACCACACTGAAAATGAATCCAAACTTCTAACCTTGATTTGGGTCCTGTCTGTCTCTCCTGCCACATCCAGCTTCCCCCCTTGCTTGACCAGTTAAAGTTTTGGAAATACCAAAGTCTGTTCCGCCCCAGGGCCTTCCAACTTCCTACTTCCTCTCTCTGAAACACTGCCTAGCACCCCCCCGCCCCAGCTTCTCACTGGGCAGTCTCCTTCCCAACCCTCAGGTCTCTGCTTCAATGTCACTCCTCAGAGAGGCCCTTCTCTCTATTTTAAATAAATATTTTTAGAGAAAGAGGAAGGGAGAGGAAAAGAGAAAGAGAAACATTGATATGAGAGTGGATCAGCTGCCTCCTGCACACCCCCTGCTGGGCACCGAGCCTGCAACCTGGGCATATGCTCTGACCGGGAATCTAAGCAGCAACCTTTTGGTGCAGGGACGCTGCCCAGCCAACTGCCCCAGAACAGGCCCTTCTGTCCACTCTACTTCTGTAGGCAGCTCCCTCACTAGCACTTAGCACAAAACTGAAGTTACATATTTATTACCTGGGGTCTTCCATCAATTCTAAGTTCCATGACAGAAAGAAACTTGGCTACTTTGTTCACCATTGTTAATTAACATCAACCACAGCACCTGCTTCATAAAGATCTCTTGAATAAATGGATTAATGAATGAAATACCCCATGCAAATATTAAGTGTAAAAGTGTAACAATTAATGAACCAATATTGATACATTATTGGCTTTTGTTGTTGTTAATCCTCACTGGAGGATATTTTTCCTTTTTTTTTTTTTTTTTGAGAGAGTGAAAGGGAGGGGAAGAGACAGAGAGAGAAACATTGATGTGAGAGAGAGACATCAATTGGTTACCACCCACAAGCACCCTGATCAGGGATGGGGATCGAGCTTGTAACCAAGATACGTGCCCTTGACCAGAATTGAACCCGGGACCCTTTAGTCAGCGGGCCGATGCTCTATCCACTGAGCAAAACCGGCAAGGGCTTGGCATTGTTTATAAAATTTTATTGCTCGGATTCTTTTTTTTTTTAATAGTCTTTTTAATTGATTTCAGAGAAAGAAAGGGAGAGGGAGAGAGGGATAGAAACATCAATGATGAGAGAATCATTGATTGGTTGCCTCCTGCATGCCTCCTAGTGGAGATCGAGCCTGCAACCCGGGCATGTGCCCTGACAGGGAATAGAACTGTGACCTCCTGGTTCATAGTCCAATGCTCCACCACTGAACTACACCAGCAGGGCAGATGCATGATGTGTGCTTGTCTCTCCTTTTGTAGTTATCAGTAGCCATTGATGGTCAATGCCCAAATCCATTATTCCACTAGGAAGTATAAACAATGATATTCTAGCCCGGCCAGTGAGTATTGTCCCATGAACCAAAAGGTCACAGTTTGATTACTGGTCAGGGCACATGCCTGGGTTTCGGGCTTGATCCCCAGTGAGGGTTGTACAGGAGGCAGCAGATCCATGTTTCTCTCATCTCATCAATGTTTCTTTTTTTAAAAAATATTTTCATTGATTTCAGAGAGGAAGGGAGAGGGAGAGATAGAAACATCAATGATGAAAGAGAATCAATCATTGATCAGCTGCCTCCTGCATGCCCCCCCACCAGGAATCGTGCCCAAAACCCTGGCATGTGCCCTTGACTGGGAATCGAACCTGGGACCCTTCAGTCCGCAGGCCGATGCTCTATCCACTGAGCCAAACTGGCTAGGGCTCATCGATGTTTCTATCTCTCTCCCTCTCCTTTCCTCTCTCTGAAATCAATAAAAACATTTAAAAAATTCTAATTCTACCTTTTCTTCTTCATTGATTAACTAAAATTCGGCTATAAAGAGGTACTTCCCATTGTCCATTATTTGGTTATCCTGAGGTAAAAGTCAACTAGGAAAGGCAGGACAAGAATTTCCCCTTTATTTGCCACTCTTTAATTCATTCCCACGGTTTCTTAGGATCTTCAAATGTGAGAAATAAATTTTTAAAAAATCATTATAATCAAATGGATGGAATAATATTTGCTGTTTCCATCCACTGTGGCTCATGTTCTCACCGATGTTCCCCTGTCCCATCTCTGACCAGCAGGACTTATCCAGGTTGGCTCCCCCATGAAAAGCCACTGGAACCTCTACCCTGCTGCCAGCTCAGCGGCGAGGCCTCCGTCCCGATAATTACGCTGTGGGCACGATCCGGTCAGGGAACACGTGAGAAGCAACCAATGACTGCGTAAGTAAATGGAACAATAAATTGATGTTCCTCTCTCCCCCTCCCCTGGCACCTTCCCCCCTCTCTCAAATCAATACATTTTTAAAAAGTTAAAAAAAGAAATAATTAAAAAACAACACAACCCTCCAAATTGCTAATATGATTATTTGAGGGTGATGGGATCAAGCGTCATTATTTTTATAGCTTGTTTTTGTACCACAGTTATTTTACTTTTAAAATACCATTATTTATCTGTGTGTATTCTTTCTAATTCTGCACAGAATAGTTCACTAGTGCTTCTTCCTCAAAGAACTCTGGGACCCTCTCCTTGGAGGTCCTCACAGATATTGGGAGTTCTTGGGGTTAAGTGTGTGAGAATAAACCAGTCATCATTTGTGTCCAAGAACAGTTTAGACAGCCACCATGTTGGACTGCGTGACTTGGCAGCTGCCATTTTGGACTGCGTGACTTGGCAGCTGCCATTTTGGCCAACATCTTGAAATGGCAAATGGGGGCCAACATCTTGAAATGGCAAAGGCCAACCTCTCCCTTTGAATCAGCCAATCTCGAAAGACTGTGCGCCTGAGCTCCAATCAAGAGCGAGGGACAGGTCACGTGCGCCAGGATCAAAAAGCCGAGCAGACCACGGGCTGCACACCTCCTGCAGGAGTAGAGACATTTGCCTGCTGCCTGGCTCCCGACTGTGCTTTGTGTTCTACCAGGACCCCTGAAGTTGGGGACTTGCCTTATTTCTAACAAGTGGATTGCTGTCTCCGGCTCCAAGGCCAAACCTTGACAGATCATCCCGTGTGACTCAATCTACCCACGTCCCCAGGCAGAGCATGCTACTGCCCCGGCCTCTGACTGGCTTAACCCCAACTGTGAAGTTTTAGGGGAAACACTGCTTATCTGGCTGTTCTGTATTCTTGAGTCTGCAGGCCAACGCTCTATCCACTGAGCCAAATCGGTTAGGGCAGTGTTCTGTATTCTTACTCTGGCTCACAGGGGCTCCAAGCTGTCCCGTCTGAACCATAATTCATGACGGCCTTCCTATGTTTTAGACACGTGTAAATAATAAACCCCCAAAAGGGGAAGAGCAGCACCTTCCCCAACTGCGTCCTTTCTTTGGCTTTAGGTGAATTCCAGAGCAAATGTGAAAAGGTACTTTTAATCCACATCTAAGGCTGAATGGTAAATTATTCTGGGTCTTCCTTCTTTTAATGAGGAACTCCAGTAGAGGCATCACCCTTTCCTGCCTCACAGTTCCTGAACGTCAACATCCAAACAATGGTTGTTTGTTTAGGCAGATTGAGACTGCTATGTAAATTCCAGGAGACACATAAAAGCCCAAAGGATTCTGCTTAGCCTAGTAAGACTTCTGAGAATGGAATAACTGCCGTGACTCATCACCACCAGAGCCTGGGTCCTAGTACCCTTCAGTTTGTTCCTGCTTGTCTCATACAGGAGATGGGGCTACTGACCTACTTTTAGGAGGGCATGCCCTTTATGTAGCTTACATAACTCCAGGGAAGAGCTCAGTCATACTTCCTTGCCTGGGATCCTTTAACAAGGCCCTTCTGTGATGGCCGTCTTCTGGCTGGACAGCCAGCAGTTTTCCTCTGTGGGAGGCCAACTAGTCTGCCCAAGGTTTTATGAGACCTTGTTAGGGCACATACTTTTTTTCTTTCATTTTTAGGGCCCATACTCTTACCAACTGAGCTAAGGGGCCGAGATGGTCCTGGAAAAGGAGGTGGGGAGCGGGCGGCCAGGCGGCTCACCTGCTGGGTAGTGGCCAGACAGTACTCTGCTGTGCTCAGGATGCTGCAGATGAGGCAGAGCTCCTCCAGGGTGAACTTGGCTGCTTCGGAGCCCTCCTTTTCCTTGAGGAGGCTGCTGATGGTCAGCCCTCCACTGCTGCTTGTGGTTCTGAGGAAAAGGAACAGGAAGTAGTCAGGCTGGGACTTCTCATTTGCTTCCTGAACTGGAAACTGCACATTTTAAGAAAAGAAAGGGGGGAAGGAAAGGCTGGACATGACCCAAATAAACCCACATACAAGTCCTTTCCTATTGACCTCACCTTGACTATCATCTGTTTAAATTCTCAGACCATCAGAAATAGGAAAAGATGTTTCCAACAGTGAGCCAGTAATCAGTCATATTTACTGTGATGACTCTGATACAGAGGAGGCTGCTGAACACTGGCTGCTTAGCTTGGCATTTCCTGATCTGTTGAGCTCATTCAGGATCATCTGAAGCACAAGAGCTGGCTCCCCAATTGTTTCTCTCAGTCAAGCAAACTCTGCACAGGAATTTGCATGTTGTGGTGGAGGGGTACAAAAGTGCATGTTAAGAAATGGTTCCTATGCCCTAACCAGTTTGGCTCAGTGGATAGAGCGTCAGCCTGCGGACTGAAGGGTCCCAGGTTCGATTCCGGTCAAGGGCATGTACCTTGGTTGTGGGCACATCCCCAGTAGGGGGTGCAGGAGGCAGCTGATCGATGTTTCTCATCGATGTTTCTAACTCTCTATCCCTCTCCCTTCTTCTCTGTAAAAAATCAATTAAATATATTTAAAAAAAAAAAAAAGAAATGGTTCCTACCCAAACCCCCATTGTCTCAAGAAACCAGAAGGCATCTCATCGCTTCCTACTAGGGTCTAATCACATGCTCAAAAAATGTCAAAATGCGGTTATAAAACTTCCTGTTCTTTCAACCATGAGTGTCTAATTTTTTTTTAAGTAGATAGAATTCAATGGCATTTATCTTAAAAATTAGCCCTAGCTGGTTTGGCTCAGTGGATACAGCATCAACCTGTGAACCAAAGGGTCCCGGGTTTGATTCTGGTCAAGGGCATGTACCTTGATTGCAGGCTCCTCCCCAGCCCCAGCCCTGGTCGGGGCTCGTGTAGGAGGCAACCAATCAATGTGTTTCTCTCACATTGATGTTTCTCTCTGTCTTTGCCTCTCTCTTCCACTCTAAAAAAATTTCAATGGAAAAATATCCTCAAGTGAGAATTAACAACAACAAAAAAATTAAAGAGAAATTTCTCCTTTAAAAAACCTGCCCAGTCTTACTGATAATCAAAGATATGAAAACATTTTAATTCCCAGTACTTATAAGAGTGCGAGGGCACTGGCACTCTTGTCCACTATGGGTTAGGAGCATCACACTGGACAACCCTTCTCGAGGTGTATTTCAGGAGCTTATAAAAATGTCCAGGTGAGTTAAGCCAGTAGTTCCATTTCTGTTCAAGAACGCTTTTCTGAGTGTTATTTAAAATACCAAAATAGTAAGCCCAACCCAAACGACCAATTAAGAGACTGATCAATCATAATCCCAGAAGTTAACTGAGGTTCTTCCATATGTTTGACTGCCATTAAACATGTTTTGATGAATATTTACTGTCAGGAGTGCCCACTATTCTCTGCTGGCCTCCCAGATCAATTTTCTGCTCTTCTCTTCTCTATGGCTCAGGAGACTGACTTCCACAGACTTATCATCATCCAGGTTCCTTGGCCCTCAGGCTTCCTCCTGTTGCATTCAGCCAACGGGAGATGCAGCAGGAAGTCGGAGAGGTAGAGGAGAGAGAAGTCTGAGCAATAATAGTCCTCCAACTCCCTCTGCTTCATTGTGGTCCTGGCAGTGACTGGCCCTCTATGACTAGTTTCTGTGGGGCAGACCTCTGTTCTCAGCCCTACCTCTCAGTGAGTTTCAAAGTAGTAATAATCACCCACTGCTGTATGGATGCCTCGGAGTCCTCTGTTGGTTCCTTCTACCTTGCCCTCGTTTCTGTGACTACTCAGCAGCCTCAATCCTAATAACATCCCAGCTGAGCACATCATTGGCTTCCTGCTGGGACACTGGCTAACACACATGAAAAAATGCTCCCAGGATGATGTTAAGTGAAAGCAGCAAGGTATAGCTCTCACTGGTTTGGCTTAGTGGATAGAACATCAGCCGGTGAACTGAAGGGTCCTGGGTTCGATTCCAGGTCAGGGCACATGCCCGGGTTGCAGGCTCGATCCCCAGTCGGGGGCATGCAGGAGGCAGCCTATCAATGATTACCTCTTATCATTGATATGTCTATCTCTCTCTCCCTCTCCTTTCCTCTCTGAAATCAATAAAAATTTATTTTTTAAAAAAAGAAAGAAAGCAGCAGGGTATAAAGCTATAATAAGTAGTACAGTCCCAATTCTGGTAAACAAACAAAGAAGAGACACAATCACACATATTATATATATAAATAAAGAATGGAAGAACATATACCAAAAAGTTAAACTTGTTTTCTCTGGGTGGTGAGATTATAGGTGATTTTTCCTTCCAATCTTTGTGCTTTTCTGTGTTTTCTATGAACTTCTATTACTTTGATCATCAGGACAAAAGTTACTAAAAACTTTTAAATGGTTTCTATCACAGTCAAAGAAATTCTCATTGGTAAAACATATCTGCTACTTCAAATGTCTTATAGAGCACATGGATTTTGTTTTCTTTCCTCCAAATCAGTGGTTCTCAACCTTCCTAATGCTGCGACCCTTTAATACAGTTCCTCATGTTGTGGTGACCCCCAACCATAAAATTATTTTCGTTGCTACTTCATAACAGTAATTTTGCTACTGTTATGAATCGTAATGTAAATATCTGATATGCAGGATGTATTTTCATTGTTACAAATTGAACATAATTAAAGCATAGTGATTAATCACAAAAACAATATGTAATTATATATGTGTTTTCCGATGGTCTTAGGCGAAGCCTGTGAAAGGGTCGTTCGACCCCCAAAGGGTCGCGACCCACAGGTTGACGACCCACAGGTTGAGAACCGCTGCTCCAAGTAATGTAAAACTCCCATGTAGGACACCTTTCAGTGACAATGACAGAAACTAATTCCATAATTGTTGAACTGAGCCACGGGGATGATTCATAATCACTAAATTTCAAAGCCTTACCTTAGATCATATTCTATAACAATTGAAATTGTTATAGTATAACCAGAACATCTAAAACCCTAGTGTAATGATTCATTTATTTCAAGCAATAACAGTGTAACAACATTAGTGACTATGGTGAAGTCACTATAATTAGGAGCTGTGCTATGCAACTCCCTACCCCCAAATCTCACTACGTCTTTAAACATTAGACTCTATCCAGCATAGCAAGACACACATACCATAGGAGAGACTTGGGGATGTAATTAGACTAAGGGAAGGCAGACTCATGCCTCTTGTCTATTTATCATCCCAGGACATACCCTCATTGAATGGGGCCTGCGTGAAACTGCCCATGCTGTTTATAAGTTATTTCCACCACCACCTCACTTTTTTGGCCAACTAGCCACCGATGAATCCATGTAAATTAAATATACATATAATGGGCCGACTCCCTCGAGCCCACGGTGGTAAGATCTGACCTATGCTGGCAGCCAGCAAGGGCATTTCCTCTAACGGTCTTGATAGCTGTGGTAACCCATTTAGAGAGGAAATAGTCTCAGGTCTTGTGAACTCAATCAGGGTGTTTTCTTCCTTGATCCTCTCAGCAGTTCAGGAAATAACTTCATAGTGGATTTCCTTAAAGATTCCCATATTTAGGTGTGTTTAGAAGCATACTTCCCCACTCGGACCAGGGAGAACAGGACTCACTTGGGCAGGTTGCCAGAGAGGATTTTCCAGGCATATTCTCGGAGGTACTTCTGGAAAATGGTGCTCAGAGCGATCATTGGCTCCCCGGTGCTGAGCTGAGAGCACTGCACCATGCACTTCTTGTAGTACACAAAGAGGTCGGCACAGCTGGGGAGCACGGCGCCCCCTTCATCACTGTTGGGCTTAGGTGGCCCCTGGGCTTTGAAATCTGCCACAAACCGATCTATCAGCTCCCCGAGGTTTCTAGGAAGAAGAAAACTTGAAATGTTATTCTATTTCAAGAAAGAGGAAGTAAATAAATGTGCTTGGCAGCCATGAGTAAATTATTCCTAATGCTTTTTACATTTAAAATTAGTATCATAAGTATCACCACCACCCCATGACTCCTATAGTAACAGCAGCAATAAAATGTGGCACTTGAGGCCCCGCCAGGTGTGGCTCAGGGGTTGAGCATCCACCTTGGAACCAAGAGGTCACTGGTTCGACTCCTGGTCAGAGCACAAGCCCGGGTTGTGGGCTCAATCACCAATAGGGGGCATGCAGGAGGCAGCCAATTAATCACTGATGTTTCTATCTCTTTCTCCCTCTCTTTTCTTGTCTGAAATCAATAAAAAAATATTTTTTATAATGTGGCACTTGCCAACTGCTTTATACTTTCCAAAGCATTTCATGATCACATATGACCCCATCCCCTGTGAGGGAGATCAGTTACTAGTGAATGCTCTAAAAGATGAAAAAATTAAGGCCAGAAAGTCTATCACTTTTAGTGGCAGAGTTGAGCCCAACATCCACCATTTAAGTGCATGCACTGGTCCTACTATCATATAAGACCATCTCCCTTTTCCACAAATGAAAACCCTAAATAATGATAGTGATCACTTTCTGAACACTTGCACTATGTCCGTATTTTATGTGTCATTTTAATGAACTTCACTGAATGCTCACAATAACCTTATGAAGTAGGAAACTATCACTATCCTTATTTTCAAAAAGCAAAGTGCAGGAAAATTAAGGACCTTGTCATACAGCAAGAGAGTGGGGGAGCCATAATTCAAAACCAAGCAGCCTGGCTCCAAGCCTCAGACCTTTAACCACTCTACCCTGCGACCTCCTAAAACACAAAAAGGTTATGATGTCAGCAAATATTGAGGTATCATTAACCTACTTGTGCCCACAAAATAGATGCCTAAACAAAGACAAACTGTAAAGAAATATTCTAGCCTTGGCCAGTGTTTCTCAGTGGTTAGAGTATCGTGGGTCTGATTCCCATCAAGAGCACATACCTGGGATGCAGGTTCAATCCCTGGCCTGGTCGGGGCAAGTGTGGGAGGCAACCAATTGATAATGTCTGTCTCACATTAATGTCTCTCTCTCTCTCTCTCCTTCCCTTCCTCCCTCCCTCCCTTCAACTCTCTCTAAAAAAAAAAATCAATGGAAAAAAATATCCTCAGGTGAGGATTAACAACAACAAAAACCCACACAAAAACAAAAAAGAAATATTCTAATGCTTTCTTTCTCCTTTAATGCAGTTTTTCTTGGAACTACAGATGTAAAGGCATACTTCTTGGGAGAAGAGGGTCTGAGCAGCTCCAGGCTTGCCCCAGGTTGCGGTGGTGACGGCGGCTGCATTTTTTCTCCCATTTCCCATTCAAACATCACTGACTTTGCTTCAGTTGAAGTGAGTCATCACTAGTTAGAACCCAGCAGGCCTGCACTGGTTGCTCCCTGCACAGTTGTGCAGTGTGAAGAATGGGAGGAGGGGGTTCCCACCCCTCTTGACATTCTGCATCTTTGTAGGTGGCTGTCTAAGGCTACAGGGATCCAGCTGTGCTTTAAAAATGTATTTATATAACAGTCAGGAAGAAAAAGACAAGAACCACACACAGCATCAATTAGCAGGAACAGGAGAAAATTGACATTTTACTCCAGAGCCTTTGTTATTGAAAGTTTATTATATCCAGATGCCGCCATTCTGCCCTCAAAGAACTTCATGCCAAGGCTCGGGCTTTGTGATGATGGTCAGCAGCAGGGAAGGAACTCCGGCCTCCCCACCCCCATTCCTCACAGCCTCTTCTTGCCTAACCTTTCCATGTAATCTCCCACCTCTCCTCCAGAGTGACCCCCCCCCTCCCCCGCCCGCTCCAGCCAGACTCACCTCCACCACCCCCTGCTCCATCTCTATCCCTGACTCTGGGCCTTTGCCTAGATGCTTCCCTCCACCAAATTATTCTCCCGACACTTCTCCATTTAGCTCAGGGTGCACCTGAGGATTAACAACAACAAATTCTCTATCTTCACAACAATCCTCTATCTTCACTTCAACATCTGTCCTGTCACACACTGACACTTCTTTTTGTTTTGTTTTTTTGTTGCTCCTCACCTGAGGCATATTCCTCCACTGCTTTTTAGAGAGTGGAAGAGAGGGGAGAGACAGAGAGAAACATCGATGTGAGAGAGACACATCGATTGGTTGCCTTCTGTGTACACCCTGACCAGGGCCAGGGTTCAAGCCTGCAACCTAGGTACATGCCCTTGACTGGAATCTAACCCACAGACCAACACTCTACCCACTGGGCCAAATCAGCCAAGGTGACACTTCATTATTTTACACTTAAATATACACTGCAAGGCTATGAAATATTCAGGAAGCATGTCGACTGCCTCCCATCCTGGGCTCACGGTGCAGTGCTCATCAATCATGGCAATCTTTTTCACGGGTCTTTGGTGTAATTTCAGAATCGTTCTGAGACAGCACTCTAGACAGCCACTTCTAATAAGCTGAAGTTGGTACAAAAGGCAGAAGCTGCTTGCTGGATAGCAGTAGCATCTTCTCTGTTTCATGTATGTTATGATAAACTCCGTGAGAGTCGGCATCATGTTTATGTTACCTCTGCTCCCCCTAGGCCCACCCCTCATGCTTATGTGCGAACCTCACCTCCCAATTATGTCGGCCCAGTACAAACTCAGCTGATCAACCTCCACACTTTGTTCCTAAGGGATGGGACTGAAAGGGTGGGAAGGATCTAATCCAGTCAAATACTGACTGAGTACTTATACTGACAGCCCACAGTGCAGAGCTCTGTGGGCTGTCAGTATAAGATATAAATGAATTCAACAATAATAACAAAAAAGCAAAGGTTATAATTTTTTCCAAACACCGAACACCACCTGGAGTTTTGGGAAGATCGTCTTGTAGGACTCCTGGAGAAAGGGATGCGTGGCACATCGACCGGTTTATTGACTGGAATCACAAGGAGGCGCCTTTTATCCCCTAAAGTACTTACAACCAAGTAAGAGAGCACAAAGGGTCAAGCCCTGGTCAGGGCGCAGCTCTGGCCGAGACACGGTGTCTGCCCATCAGAAGCTTTGATCTACTTGGGGAGACAGGACCCTCATGCGTATGAGAGTTAGATTCCCAGACAGCAACAAAATGCTAATTTTGCAGTCTACACAAAACGAGCAATTGCTTTAGACAATGGAAATACCAGAGGACACTAGAGAGAAAATGTCACAGCAGATTCAGGTGAGAGAATTGAGGCACGGAATCAGAAAGGAGCACAGAATATAGTGGGAGGAAGACAGGGTGGGAAGGAGGAGAGGGTTTGGCTGAGGTAGATGATACAAAGAAGAAAAGTCTGTGCACCATAATCCTTCTTTGATCTTTTTCCCACTGCAGCTATAAGCCTATAAAGCATGTGCTGGGTGCATTATAAATATAATCTCATTTAATCCTCTAAGACCTGAGTAGAAGGCCTTATTATCCCCATTTTATACATGAAGAAACTGAGGCTGAGGAAAATAATACAATTTTCCCTATAGAATTTATCAGAACTGGAATATGAACTTGGGTCTGTCTAACTCCAAAGTTAAGCTCTATCCACTCACTATACTATGCTTTGATTTCAAAACTGTAAAGCACTAGACAGATATATGGTATTTCGATTATTGCTGTTATTCACTTTCTCTTCAGCTTGAAGAAACAGGTCATGGATGTAGATGGTGTCTTTTCCCCTCTTCACTGTAGCTTGAGCCTAAGAACTGTGTAATACTGTTGGGAGTTCCACTGTATGGACTATGAGTCCATATGAAATGACCTAGGAATAGAGACTTCTGCAGAGCAGTATCACTAGAGGGAAATAGTAAAACACAATGAGAAGAAAAACCACATCGCAGACCAAGCTTATCTATGGATGACCAAGGCAGATTCTTCTGCTGGGCCTGTGCGCGGCATATTGAACAATGTTCTCCTGGGAAGTAAAGGAGTGACGGCACTGGGAGAGGAAGATGACAGTCAGGAAAAGCTGGCAAGGAGCTAAGCATGGACAAACCCCCAAAAGGTCCCCAGGAAGTTACAGAACTTGTTAATTCAAGGGCACTCAAACTAGTTTGTACCCCCAACCCCTTCTCCTTCCTTTTAGTTGGGACCAAGGATTTGGTTCTGGTATGGCTTGTGGGGTTGGTGAGCCAAGGTTTAGCTTGAGCCCAACTGGGAGATGGGTTGCATATAGGTAAATGGAGCATAGAACTAAATATGGGGAGGACACTGGGAGCCAGGCTTCTTACTGCCATAGAAGGCAGTTCAGACATGTAAAGGAGGAAGCTAAAAAAATCCCTGTGGTTAGGTTAGAATTGGAGGTATCAGCATAAACACACAGGTTATAACATAGAAGTGGGTATAAAAATAGATACAGAGGCACCTGGCCGGTGTGGCTTAATTGTTTGGAGCATCATCCTGAACACCAAAAGGTTGTGGGTTCGAATTCCAGTCAGGGCACATACCTGAGTTGTGGGTTCGGTCCCTGGTCGGGGTGCATACAAGAGGCAAACAATTGATGTTTCTCTCTCTCTCCCTTCCTCTCTCTAAAATCAATAAACATATTCTTGGGTGAGGATTAAAAAAATAGATATAGAGAACTATACACATACATATAGTTCTTAGCTACATGGACCTACAAGCATGACACCCAAGCATAATGACCATATCTGATGCCAAGAACTTAGTTTCCAAATATCATTCCTGCCAAAGGAAGAAGGGATCCTAAAAAATGAATGACTCTAGGGCTGAGGTAGGAAAGCACAAGATGAGCCTAGTATATTTTGTTGTACCAGAAAAGTGCTTAAAAAAAAGGTGCAAAAAAGGTGAAAAATGAGTTTGAAGGGGGTTTCAATGACTAAATCAGGGCCTATTTGAGCATTAAAATAAATAATGATGGATCCTGGAAGGAAAAAAGAACATTAGTGAA